TTAAGGTTCGTTCGTCCCCGATTTTAGGTGTCTTTATCGGGTTGCACCGAAGCAATATTAATATCCCCCTATCACATATTAATATTAAAATGAACAATTTTTATCCTTATACCAACCATAAAATCGAAATATTATGTCGAACTTGCATGTGTATGATTATTCGAATGCTGAACCATATCCAATTATAAATGTTTTAAATTAACCCAAAGAAAATAAAAATACTCCATATATCCTAACAAGAATATATCACGCGTGTACCCCCAACCTACTTACCCATCCCTCCTTGTGTAGCCGAAAAAAAAAAGAGAAAAAAAAGAAGCACACTATTTAAACTCCATTTCCGGATTATCATCACCAATTTTCCGTTGATAAAGTCAGAGCCAATTATACAATTAGCAGAATAATTTTTCCAACGTAAGTCCACTAGACAATGGCTGCCAACTTGGCTCTCAACACACTATAAATATCCAATCATCCCTTCCCTTGCAATCCCACACACAAACACACAACATGAATTCTATCACCACAAAAAAATCTCTTCCCCCAATTCACGGGCTTTTGGCCTTGGCTCTCCTTCTGGTCGTCGGGGCCCAATGGGCCTCGGCCCAGAACTGCGGTTGTACCAACAACCTGTGCTGCAGTCGGTGGGGTTATTGTGGCACAGGGGACGCGTATTGCGGCGCCGGGTGCCAGGCCGGCCCGTGCTACGCATCCCAAGGAGGTAGAAATCTTGCGAATATCGTGACCGATGCCTTTTTCAACGGGATCGTTAATCGGGCCGGGGCGAATTGTCCCGGGAGAGGGTTCTACACTCGATCTGCTTTTTTGCAGGCGGCCAGGTCGTACCCTCAGTTCGGGACGGGGTCCCAGGATGTTGCTAGGCGCGAGGTTGCCGCGTTTTTCGCGCATGTTACGCATGAGACCGGGTGTAAGTTCTCCTTCTAAATGAAAAAAAAAATTTATGATGATTGTTGATATAATAACTTGATGTACGATACACAAGTCGTGTCGTTATTAATAACGATCCTATGATCACAGTTCGGCTTGTTAAGAACAAGATCAATATATGGGTTGGGACGGCTAAAACTTATTTATTTCAGAAAGCGTTAGAAAACTGGTGAAATGGTTAATATATAATCTAGTAACTTATACATATAAG